GATTTGTCGACTTTTCCTACCGAGCCTGCCACCAGCATCCGATGGACAAATTCGCGTCGGTTTATTGAACCGTTGGTCTCGGTAGCGGAGTTGCAATACACGTTGTTGGTAGTTGCCCTTCCTCGTCCGAGCAATAAACGGAAATTGAGATCAAGTCTGGAGATCCTCAGCAGTAAATCTATCCATCGGCTTTTCAACCCCCTCGCGATGCGAAGTTCTCAGCTTCCCAGCCGCCAACGTCCGGGGAAAATTCGTCCGTACGACCTCTTCGCATCACCGGGAGTCCACCAACCATCGCAGCGCAAATAAGTCTGGACCTCCCGTCGTGGATTCCATTTCGATTTCGGGTTCACAAACGGAGAATGGAGAAGGTCCCACGTGGTCTGTGTCCATCGACGGGGATTCGACCCGGGGTCGTCCACGAGTGAGGGAATCAGGAGCTCGAGGCGGCGTGTAGGCGAGTGCGGGGAAAACCATGCAGGCGTAGGTGAGTTTTGAGTTTGAGTTGGAATAGACCTCAGGTCTAGGACTCTCACTGCTGGCAGGAGTTGAGCCGTCCGCGGCTGAAAGACATATTTGAATCACATCGCAGAGGAGAACCTACGAATCTAATTCATGCTCCGAATGCTCCAGCGTGTCCGAGGACTCGATGCCAGTGAGCAGATCAATGCTCGCCGGAATAGACGGCGCTGGCTCTGGGCCACGAACACCGAGCAAGCTAATCATTGAGAGGCCGGAATCAGGACCATCCTTCAGGATCGCGTCTATGAGTTCCTACGGATTCGGCATGAGTGGGTATTGAGACAAATGTACAGCACTTGCCGATGGTAGTCTGTTAATCATAATCATCGGCATCCCTTGATCCCTGGCTCACAATTGTCAATGGCCAAGAGGGTTGATTGTGGGGGCTCCTGCTAAGTTTTGAGGACTTGGCCTTTCGTTTCGTTCCATTTCCTCACTTTCCTTGGAACCTCTTCCAACGGATGTCAACCAAGTTTCAACCGTGGGAAAGTTGCACTTGACACCGCTTTTGCGGTCCTTTCGTCGCAAGAAAACCACAGATATTCATTCCATTCAAATTGGAGTCCCTGCGGCTCAGCGAAGTCCTCATTATGAACATAGGTGCTCGAAACCCAAAGGGTGGCCTGTCAGCAAGGGATTATTATTCGCAATGGCAATCGAAACACTGCACACATTCAACTTGAATGCACAGTAGAAAGACTCGGTGGTAATTGGTCCGCACATATTGGCTAATCGCGGACAACCCGAGTGGAAGAACACCTGCCTGTTCGAATTGGGCCCGAGTTCATAGAACAGTCGTTCCTAGCTCGAGGGAAATGCAGTATCATCTACCACCTTGAGGTTGCAGATAAGGGAGGCTCGGAAGTGGATGGTCCACACCTGTGTTCCGTGAAGTCATCGGTATATGGCGCTTGAAGCGGGAGGTGCCTGTTCGAATCAGGCCCGAGCCATGCCAGGTTTCCGTTGACAGGTCTTTCTTTTTTCTTTTTGTACTCAACCACAGCGGCTGATTCCTCCTAAATCGGAGCTGCGGTAGAGCTTGGGGGTGGGTTCCCAATCAATGTACCACGGGTGTGTTGTTTGAATGGGTGAACTGGTTACTTTCACTGTCAATTGAATAGTTACAGGGTTTCCTGAAAATAATGTCAAACACCGATTTTTTTTTGCAGGGATTCCCAAAAAGGAAATCGGTCCTTCCTCAGTCCCTGCGCCTGCGACGCCTTCTCCGATATATTATGGCATACTGGGGACGTGTATTATAGGTGAATGTGATCACAACACTACACGAGAATAGCCAAAAGTTGGTATGTACAGCTTGTAAGAAACGAAGGAAACTCAACGCGCGACGCGCCTCGGTTGCGCCCCGGTGCCATCCTCTGCGCAACACGCTTACTCCCCACTTCCCGTCCCCGCAAACCTCAACCGGCTTCGCGGGTTCGCGTTGGCGTTCCACCCCATTCGAGCTGGGCGCGCGCCGCCGCGGCGTATGTAATAGTTGGGGGTGACGAGTAGACGCGAACGACGCGCCGGCGGCGGTGCCCTCGCGCCAATCGGTGCGTAACAGCGCAGACCTCCGCCCCAATCGCGTTACAGCTCTCGTCCGCCGTCTGCACCCCGCACCCGTTGTCTCTTCGTGCCCCACGCGCACGGCTATGAGCGCCTGAGTATGGCGCAGTTTTGCCTCGATGGCGTCATCTGCGTTTGCGGGGGGAGGGTCCATTCTGGCGCTAGCAGGACACGTCCGCAGTACGGGTTTCCTGGGGCAGTGGGCGTAGAGGTTGGTCTCAGTGAGCAGGTTAGATGGAGGGGATCGGTGCGGAGGGACAGGACGCGTGCGGAGGCACCCGTCCTACGACGTTTGGAACGAGTCATGTACCGAAAGGTGCAGGATAGAGCATGTACTGTTGTTGGAGCACAGGTGGTGAGCAGGCGGTGAGGCGGTGGTGCGGGTCAACGCACCTTGAATGTTGTCCGCGCGCAGACTCTGTCCCTCGTCTCGTCTATGGCAGTATGCACACTCTCTGCTGCGTTTTCTCCGCCCTATCTGCGGTCTAAACGTCTCCTGCGGCGGCGAAGCGATCCCGGTGTCCGTGTCATGCGTGCTCAGGCAACTTGAAGCTAGACAAGCTAGGGTTTTGAAGGAGCCTTGCCGGGTCGATTTGGCGTCCCAGGCGCATCACTGCAGCGCCTGTGTGGCAAGATGTCTCCGGGTCATCGATTTTGAGAAGATTGGAGGCCCAGGCAGCGATACGGGACGAAGGCAGAGGGAGTTTGAGAGGGAAGAGACCAATTTCCTTTTTGGGAATCGGGCGAAAAAAAAATCAGTGATTGCCATTATTTTCAGGAAATCCTGTAATTGCCTTTGGAAGCAGTAAGGCTCGGTGGTGGTTAGTCCCCATAGTCGGCTCTTGCGGACGGACAAACGAACCGAGTGGGAGAGCGCCTGTTCGAATCGGGCCCGAGTTCATGGGGTCGTACTTAGATCTTCCTTTTTTTTGTTTTCCTCGAGCTCGGGTTGAGAAAGGCAGGATCCATAGTTTTGAGATTGCAGACAAGCAAGGCTTGGCTGTGTTCCGTGAAGTACCTGGCGTTTGGCGCTTGAAGCGGGAGATGCCTGTTCGAATCAGGCCTGAGCCATGCTCGTATGCCAAAGATCTACCATTTTATTTCTCTTGCCTGTGGACCATCACCACGGAATCTCAATTTGTGGGGGCTCGGTAGTAGGGGGTGGATTCCTTGCTTTCGTGGGTCACTGGTGTGGTGTTCGAACGGGAGGGGTGGCTTGTGATTCAATACAACTTGAAGGCAGACCTGACTCGGAGGTATATGTATACACAACTTGGGGGGGCAGGTCAGAAAGAACTCGGTGGTGGTTGGTCCGCATATGTTGGCTCTTGCGGACAAGCAAACCAAGTGGGAGAATGCCTGTTCGAATCAGGCCCGAGTTCATAGGAGGCCTTGAAATCTTTTCTTTCTGCAGGAAAATTGCAGCATCTACCACCTTGAATTTACAGATGAGGAAGGCTTGGAAGTGGATGGTCCACACCTGCATCCTGTAAGATAAACGTGTTCGGAGTTCTAAGCAGGAGGTGCCTGTTCGAATCAGGCCCGAGCCATGTCGACTCGGCGTAGTTGTTATTTTATTTTTACACCCATAAAAAGTTTATCCCATTTGAACTGCGGTAGAGCTTTATATGGATCCCAATACGGGTGTGTTGTTTGAACTCAACACGTAGCTTGTGCAAGGCATTGAGTACTATTTTCGATGGCAGTTCACTGTGCCGAGGATTCGTCATGAAATTCAACACAATTTTCGTGAATTTCAAGGTTCACGACCTTTCATCATGAAGCCGGTCGTGAATTTCATGATCCTGTTCATGATGGTATTTCTGTCTCTTTTTCAACATCATGAATTCCCGATGATTCATCGTGACTTCTTGATTTGATTTGATTTGATTTATTCATTTGGTTACTACATATGGCCGGTAAGGCTACGGTAGCAGTACATACGGGAGTAAGTAAATGTATTGTAGAGAGGATTGGTAAGAGTTACGGTTTTTATAAGAGAGAGAGAGAGAAAAAGACGTGACTTCTTGACTGTACAATACTTACTTACAAGGCAGAGAATCAAGTAGATATATCAAGACCATTACAGTGCTACTCTAGCCCTCTTCCACACGTCTTGGGTAGCGGTCTCAGGGTGTGACCTTGGGAATTATATTGGCCTTGAATTCACGACAATTCACCATGAATTTCATGATGTTTCAACATTTCCCAGGCTGTGGAGCCGGGTGGAGCCTGAACCCGGTCGCTCGAACCAGGTGCAAAACTCAGGTCATGACCTCCCGGGATTTCCTAATACATGTATGCGCGACATGAGATTTGTTCAAGACTTAAGACTTGTTACCCTACTACTACTACTACATACTACTACTACTGGCTTGACTTACTTAGTTACTTGTACTCATACTGCCTTAACTTAGTTAATTCATACCTCAAGGTACCGCAGTGTTGTGTGGGCTTTGAAAGACCATTTTTTCTGGTTCTGGGTAACATACTATTCCTAATGAAACCACACGAAATTCAACACGAAACGTCGTGAAAAGACCATCATGAATGTTCCTAAAACCACCATGAAATTCACGACCTATCTTGAGCCTCATTCACGATGGTTTGTTAGGAAGTTCGACATGTCCCAACATGAATTTCGGGACAAATCATCGTGACAATCATCCCGAATTTCACGATGGTTTGACCGCACAGTGGTTGAAATCATGCATATATCCAACTTGGAGCGCAGATCAGTAAGGCTCGGTGGTGGTTGGTTATCGTGATTGAACACACCAAGTGGCCATCGGAGAATGCCTGTTCGAATCAGGCCCGAGTGCATGAATATGCGGACTCGGAACCTTTCTTTTTCCGAACTCGCACATTGGAAAAATGCAGCATCTATCGCGCTTGAATTTGTGAATAAAGAGGGCTTGGAAGTGGATGGTCTACACCTGTGTTTCGTGCCAGATGTGGTCCTTCGGTGCTTGAAGCAGGAGGTGCCTGTTCGAATCAGGCCCGAGCCATGCCAGGTTCCCGTTGACAGGTGTTTCTTTTTCTTTTTGTACTCAACCACAGCGGTTGATTCCTTCTAAATCGGAGCTACGGTAGAGTTTGGGGGTGGGTTCCCAATCAATGTACCACGGGCGTGTTGTTTGAACGGGGGTGAACTGATTACTTTCACTGTCAATTGAAACCCGGGCTCAGCATATAACCAACTTTAAATGTAGCCTATAAAGGCTCGGTGGTGGTTGGTCTACACTTGTTGGCTATCACGGAGGAACCAAGTGGGAGAATGGATGCCTTGTCCAAATCGGAGCCGATTTCATGAGGCTGCAGATGCTTTTTTTGCTGTTGTGAATCCATGGTCGGCCAGGCTTGCACATTAAAAAGAAATGCAGCATTCAATCCCCTCAAAGTTTGCAAAAATAAGGAAGGCTCGGAAGTGGATGGTCCACACCTGCGTTCTGTGAAACCTTGGGTATCGCGCTTGAAGCAGGAGGTGCCTGTTCGAATCAGGCCTGAGCCATTCCTTGACGTAGATGCGTCATTTTTTAAAAACTATTTTGCGTGTGGACCACGGGGGCTGGGTAGTAGGCTTTCGTGGTGAGTTTCTTGTTTTTGCAATTGTGGGTCACTGGTTTAGTGTTCGAATAGGAGGGGTGGCTTGTGACTCTTCGATGCAAGGCAACAATCCTCTCAATGCCACTGAGTGAACAGGTATACTTATATGCAACTTGGGGGGCAGGTCAGAAAGACTCGGGGCCACACTTGTTGTGCTATCGCGGACGAACAAGCCAAGTGGGCGCCTGTTCCAATCGGGCCCGAGTTCATGAGTCATGGTTGGTCGGTGTGAACCAGTTTTTTTTCCCCGAACTTGCATCATGATGTATACGTAGGTTGGAAAAAATATGCAGCATCTCTCAGCTCGGAGTCGGAGATAAGGAAGGCTCTGAAGTGGATGGTCCGCACCTGTATTCCGTGCCATATGTAGTTTCTCGGTGCTTGAGCAGGAGGTGCCTGTTCGAATCAGGCCTGAGCCGTGGTGGCATCGGTCAGCCGAATGGTTTTTATTTTCTTTTAGACTGAGTGAACCACAGAAATTGATTCCTTCTAAATCGGAGCTGCGGTAAAGCTCACGGGCGGGGTCCCTGGGGTGTGTTGTTTGAACTCAACAGGTGGGCATAGAATCAACTTTGAATGTTGGCTGTAGAGCCTCGGTGGTGGTTGGTCTGCAGATATTGGCTATGTCGCTGACGAACCAAGGGGGAGAGAGTGCCTATTCCAATTGGGCCCGAGTTCCTACGTTGGTGGGAAATTTCCTTCTCTTTTTCTTGAGCTTGGGGTGGGTTGAGGAAGGCAGGAGGTGTAGTCTTGAAATTGCAGGAGATGGTCCACACCTGCATTATATTCCAAATGTCTTTTCACTTTCAAGCAGGAGGTGCCTGTTCGAATCAGGCCCGAGCCATCAGATGACTCCCCGCCGGCTTTTTGTTTATTTGTTCAGAGGCCTGCAACCTTACCTCACTTCTAGCTATTAGCTTCATTGCAGAGGAAATCATCCCGCGGTGGTGGATAGTCCACTAGGGTCCCCTCGAAAATGCAATCGGGGCTCTCTGTTCGAATCAGGTGCGGGTCATATGGATAATTTCCGGGCTGTATCTTTTTAGATTGAGCCTTTCAGGTTGGCATGGGCAAAACTGTGGCTGGAAAATGCAACATCCATCCTCTCGGAGTTGCAAGATAAGCAAGGCTCGGAAGTGGATGGTCCACATCTGCATTCTATAGCTGGAATCTAATGTTGCTTGAAGCAGGAGGTGTCCAGTGTTCGAATCAGGCCTGAGCCATGCTCGGATGCCCTGTCTCCAAGCATTTTTTTTGGCTTTTGCGTGTGGACCACGGAATCTAAATTGGGGGATCCGTAGCCTAGTAGGCCTTCGTGGTGGATGGGTCACTGGTGTGGTGTGGTGTTCAGATATGAGAAGATGAGAGTGGCTTGTGGCTCTTCGATGCAAGGCAACAATCCTCTCAATGCCACTGAGTGAACAGGTATACTTATACACAACTTGGGGGGCAGGTCAGAAAGATTTGGGGCCACACTTGTTGGTTTAGTTATCGTGGATGAACAAACCAAGTGGCCATGGGAGAGTGCCTGTTCGAATCGGGCCCGAGTGCATGGGGTCGCGTACAAATTTTTTTTTTTTTGTTTTCCTCAAGCTCGGGGGTGGGTTGAGGAATGCAGCATCTATCAGCTCGGAGTTGCAGATAATAAGGAAGGCTTGGAAGTGGATGGTCCATGCCTGTATTCTGTTCCAACTCTGTTGCCACTTCCAAGCAGGGGGTGCCTGTTCGAATCAGGCCCGAGCCATTAAATGACTCCCCGCCGGCTTTTTGTTTATTGAGAAGCCTGCAACAGCTGCAGCATCCATTTAGTTTCATTGAGAACCAGAGGAAAGCATCCCGCGGTAGTGCATGCACCACTAGTGTTCCCCCGAAACACAACCAGGGGTCTCTGTTCGGATCAGGTGTGGGTCATAGTTCATGAGTCCGCTCTGCATCTGTTTAGCTCTTTCCAGAGTGAGCCTTCGATTGGCATGGGTTGAACCAAAATCAGAGGTACAACACCCAGCCTGAGGCTCGGCCCCAGTGGCCCCAGCATGGTTGCTACAGCGGGAGAGCGCCTGTTCGAATCACACCCGAGTTCATAAGCGGTCGAGATCTCTTTTGCAAACTTGCACGTTGGAAAGATGCAGCATCCATCCCCTCAAAGTTGCAGGATAAGGGAGGCTCGGAAGTGGATGGTCCACACCTGTGTTCCGTGAAGCCTTGGCCATCGCCCTTGAAGCAGGAGGTGCCTGTTCGAATCAGGCCCGAGCCGTGCAGTTCAATTGTCGGGGTTTTCTTTTCTTTTACACTCAGTGAACCACAAAAAGTTTATCCCCTTTGACCTGCGGTAGAGCTTGATGGATCCCAATACGGGCGTGTTCTTTGAACTCAACACGTAGCTTGTGCAAGGCATTGAGTGAGTAGCTTCAATGACAGTTGAAATCATGCATATAATCAAGATCAGTAAGGCTCGGTGGTTGGTCCGCATACGTTGGCTCTTGCGGACAAACCAAGTGGCAGAGTACCTGTTCGAATCGGGTCCGAGCTCATATCCCTGAAATCTTGGATTTTTTCCTGCTTGCGCATTGGAAAAATGCAGCATCTGTCAGCTCGCAGTTGCAGGATATGGAAGGGCTTGGGAGTGGATGGGCCACACCTGTATTCCGTGAAGTCATCGGTATATGGTGCTTGAAGCAGGAGATGCCTGTTCGAATCAGGCCCGAGTCATTATCCACCGTCACGCTAGTTTTTGATTATTATTTGTTCAGATGCCTGCAACCTCACTTATAGCTGCCAGTAACTGCCCTTGGCTTCATTGCGGAGAAAAGCAGCCTGTGTTGGTGAATAGTCCACTTGTGTCCCTCGAAAAATGCAATCGGGGGTCCTGTTCGAATCAGGCGCTTAGATTGAGCCTTCGTTGGCATTGGTTGAACCGAGATCGAAGATACAACAGGCAGCCTGAGTCGGTGCCAGTCAGTCAAGCACCTGTTCGAACCAGGTCCGAGCCGTTCCAGAGCACTAGTGAATTTTGCTCGATTATTGCAGCCGAACATAAGCTGTCGCGTTCGATACTGCAGCCGACGAGAGCATCATGTGATCGCGTTTTCGGTCCCCGCATTAGCCACACATTGGACACAAAGTTTAAGCTGCAACTGTGTATTTTGGCTGCCAGTTGGGCGTCAGACCGCGCGTGGGGACGTAGCATGACTCTTGCGAGGAGTCGGAGTTGTCGGAGTTTGCAACAGGCGATCAATTGATTTGCGTGGCTTGGCGAAATTGAAGAGGAGGCTCTTGTGCTCCAAAAATCCAATCGACGGGAGGCAATAAAATGAACCCAACCTCGCCCCGGGTATGTATTCTGGGGATGGACAAGTCCCTTACTGACGAGTCTCTGACATTACAGCGGACAGAGACGCTGACCCACCATGGATTCGCCGCTGCACCAGATCCGTGCGTTCTTCTGTCTTCGCCCACCGTCGAATAATAAACTCACCGCAATGCCTTAGATTTGCCCCTCGTCGACGTCCTGGCGCCTCCTTCTTCAACGCGCTGCTCGCCACGGCCCTGTTCCGATGCTGGCACATTCTCATGTTCTTTGCCGCCTGGAGCACCGTCATCACCGTCCTCGACCACAACAAGTTCAAGGTTCGCCTGTCCTCGACTCTACTCACTGTGTGCGTCGCACAAAACCTTATCGGTCCGTTGGAAGCCATTATGCTAACTGAGTTTTGGCTCGCTAGCATCGGTACCGTGCTCGGTTTCGTCGTCTCCTACCGCACCACCTCCTCCTTTGAGCGCTACAACGAGGGCCGCAAGCTCTGGTCCCAGATCATCCTCGCCTCCCGCACCTTCGCCCGCACCGTCTGGTTCCACGTCCCCGACCTGCCCCCCACCAAGGACACCGACGCCGAGACCATGAAGGCGCGCTCGATCGTGGAGAAGAAGACGGTCATCAACCTCCTCGAGGCGTTCGGCGTCGCGGTGAAGCACTACCTGCGCGGCGAGGACGGGATCTACTACCAGGACCTGTACTACCTCGTCAAGTTCCTCCCCGCGTACGCCCTCCCCACCGGCATCCCCTCCAACGCCGACTTGACGAATGGCGCGGGGATGGACGGCGGGCGGTCGCCGACGTTCTCCGACGCCTCGCATGCGCACGGGTTCCGCCCCTCGCTCCCGAACCAGCCCGGCTCCTTCCTCTACCAGCGCTCCCCGCCCTCCTCCATGTCCGCCCCGCACCTCCCCCTCCCCGTCACCGCCACCTCGCCCTCCTCCTCCTCGCCCGCCTCCCCCGCCTACAACCGCGACCGGGACAGGCGCACGAGCTTCGCGGCGCGCATCCCCGGCATCCCCGAGCGCCCGGTGGTGCCGCCGCTCATGATCTCCCCGCCCACGCGCCTCAACTCGCCCACGGACGAGAAGCACGGTGGTGCCTTCGGTGGTGGAAGGGATGGGAGGGACGGGAACCTGCCGCAGCCGACGCTGTCGCCGCCGCCGCAGGGCGGGGGCGGGGGGCGCAAGATCAGCACGGGGAGCCGCTCGTTGCGCTCTATACGCTCGCCGCATCCTGGCGAGCCGCAGAAGGTGGGTCTTCCTTCCTCCCTCCTTCCCTCCCTTCCCTTTTCTCCCTGCCCTCTTGCTGCTATCGCCATTGCTAATAACATGGCGTTCAAAGATCATCCTCGCCCGCCCGGACGAAACCTACCTCCTCCCGGGCTCCCTCCCGCCAAAATACCACCTCTTCGACCTCTTCCCCTTCTCGCTCCTCGTGCGCTGCCTCACCAAGCGCGGGCGCGAGGTCAAGGGGAAGAAGGCGGCGAGGATGCGCGCGAAGATGAGTGCCGGTGCGGGTGGGGGGGGAGGGGGGAGCCATAATTTGCCGTTGGAGGTTAGTTTGTATCTGGTGAGTCGTTCGCGTTCGCTGCGTGTGTTTTTATTGGGTGAGGAGAGAGGCTGATGAGATTTGGTTGGGCGGTGGGCGGTAGAGCTCGTATATTGCGGCGATGCAGCATCGGAAGCAGACGGATGTGCCGACTACGAGTGCGTGCTGGTGTCTTTCTCTTTACAATGAATAGGAGCTGATTTGTGGGCCACGTAGACACGCTCCTGGCGTCGCTGAACAACCTCGTCGATGCGCTGACGGGGCTGGAGAGGATTTTGACGACGCCGATTCCGTTTTCGTGCGTGTTCTTTCTTTTCTTCTTCGCGCTTTCTTTCTTTTTTCTTTTTTTTTTTTTTTTGGGGGGGGGCTTCTTTCTTCGTTTCTTTTCACTGTATTCTTCGTCTTTTTGCTCGTATACACATATGTCGGCGCCTGCGACAGCGACACACCTTGCCTTCCTTCCTTCCTTTCTTCTCGCCCCCTTTCCCCTCGCCCCCTCTACCCCCCTACATCCACCCTCCTTTCGTCCTTTCGCGGAAGCTAACTAACCACCGCCCACCCCGCAGGTACTCAATCCACCTGTGGGTCGTGACGACTATATATTGTTTGGCGTTGGTGAGTACTTCCTTTCCTCTTCGTTTCTCTTTGCGTCGGAGTGGGGGGTGGGAGGGTGGGTGGGCTGGGGATGGGGAGTGGGGGATGGGGGATGGGGCTGGGGGCTGGGGCTGGGTGGTTGGCGGGCGCGAGGAGTCGCGAGGGGCCAATGGCCGCTCGATCTGCGTGTACCGCGAGTTCTGGCGGCCGCGATGGGCTAGGCGGGATCTATCTGCTCGTAATGCGCGCCCGGTGTCATATGGGGTGGGCCCTAGACGATGGAGGGACGATGGAGAGGCGACGGGTGGATAGTGTAGCCTAGCCTGCTTGCGCTGGGGGTGGCGGCGTCCGCAAGACGCAGGTGGCGAGGAGTGCATGCACGCAGAGGGCGTGCCGCCGTTGACGCTTGCGGGGCGGAGTGCTGCCGTTGATACTTGCGGTGCGGAGTGCTGCCGTCGCTGCACTTGGTACGGACGGTACTTGAGGCTACATACTCCTCGCGATAGTCGTGTGCTACTCTCGCCGTAGCCTCGGCGCTCTGGGTCCGGCCAACGACGCGTCGTTGTGCTCGCCACCCCCTTCTCTGGCTGCTCGCTGCTCACTGCTCGCGCCCTGCATTTCTCTGTGTCACTGGCTACGGATGGGTGCCTTGTCTCGTTGTGCCGTGGCGAGGGCTGCATGCTGGCGGTGTCGTTTATACCGCCCTTGGGCCGAGTAGTGCTCGGGACTGGTGCTCGGGATTGCTACTCCCCGTCGTGTACGACTGCGCCGCTTTCTCCTCGTCCCCTTACTCTTTCCCTCGCTGCTCGCACCGTACCATTTCTCTTCTTCTTTTCAATTTAATACCTCTTCCTCCCCTTCGCAGAACACAAACTAACCCCCGTTCCACCCATTCCAGCCAAGTCAGATAGTGCTCACGATGGGCTGGGCGACGATTCCCGCGACCATCCTGCTCTCGTTTATATTCTTTGGGTTCTTGGTCGCTGGGGAGGAGATTGAGAGTGCGTGCACAGTTCCTTCCACCTGACCCGTCCTAATCTTCCTTTCGTCTCCTCCCCCGCTAGATCCCTTTGGATACGACAAGAACGATCTGAATCTGGACCACTTCACGCATAATATCATACGGAATGAGTTGAGGGCGATTACGAGCGCGAGTGCGCCGGAGCCGGATCGGTGGGTGAGTGCCGATGGGTTTATTTTTTATTTGCTCCGCTCGGGTGCGGGGTTGGGTGCGGGGAAACGGGCAGTCGGCGTTTATGACTGTGCAGCATTATGCTCCCCGCCCT